CATATGCAAATATGGTCCCTCAATACCCTCCTCCACCCATGCCGCCCATGGGTTATATGCCGATGCCGGCCCCAGCCATGCCTCCCGTCGCTGCTCCTGGTGGCTTTAACTATATGAACACACCTCAGCATCCTCATCTGCAGTTCAATGAACCTATGCAGATGTACCCAGGCCCATCTCACCTTGGGTACCCAACCCCAGGGCCATCCCAGGTGCAGTATCCTCCTCCTCCACACCCCGCCCCCATGTACCAGGGGCAACCTCAGGTGCCTTTCCAGGGACACCACCAACGCGAGTATCACGAGCCCATGACTGTGTCTCAAGATGCTCGCAACCACCCATACCAAAGCCACGGTCGACCTCAGTACCAAGGTCGCCGCCATGCTTCATACGCGCATCCTCAGCAGATGCATTACCAGGGGAACTACAGCGGTACGCCCCACTCTAACTTCACTTCCCGGGGACCAAGAGAGTCCTACCACCAGAGCCGCCAGCGACAGGAAGCAGAGCGCTACCGTCGCTATAACTCTTAGATATCCAGATGCCCTGCCACGACCGCTATATCCAGGTATATAGTGTATGGCCTCTTGGTGTTCAACTTCTCTCTGACTATCAAACCTGATCCTCTAGCTCGACATTTTTGGCGTCTTTATTCGACATTTCTGATCTTTTCTTTCGATTTCCCAGCTTGCAAGTGCTATACAGCTATATATCCATGCGAGCCTAGGAGCCTAGGCTCAGTCGCCATTTCCAAAGCTGGACCTGATTGCTCTTTGACGACTTTTTTTTGGTTCTCGAAAAGTTATATTCGCAACCAGCCACAGGTTTTTCAATTCCCCGCCAGACACATCACCACACCAGCATGCTAGGCATGCCTCTCCCTGAGCCACAGCACAAAGACAGACGACAGGATTTACAGGAGACATCACACCAATCATATCGGCTTGGATGCCCTTAGACAGAACAGATCTTCGACACGGCAGGGTTGGATGAGACTGGATTGCTTTCGGAACCATGGTCAGATACGAGAGACGAGGTGTCTCTGCGGTTTTCTCGTCTATGTACGGATTTGTTAACTTCACGGTTTCCTTTCATTTCCTTTCTTTCCTTTACTGTTCTTGATTTATATTGTCAAACCCCCTAGAAAACCACAAAAAAAGAGAATAAGGGAGCAATCTCACCAATGGGCCTTTGTCCCACCAAAACTCTTGTCCCTCCCTGCACGCAATTGTGAATGAATGAATGGATGGATGGATGAATGAATGAGTAAGTGATGATGTGACGATATGACTGAGACTGACAAAAAGGGCCGAAAGTTGCCACATTCAATGGCAGGCATGATATGATATGACATGATGTCCCTCGGCCTTGATAGGTGTTGTCAAAATAAACTCAGCAAAAGCCATTCTAAACTTGGGCTGGATCTATACCAAGTGGTCTAAATGTTTTTGTCGTTTAGGATCAAGGTCCCTAGTTTTCTTTCCTCCTCTAAGTCCCTCAGGTAGATTCAGCGTCGGCCGATCATCCATCGTGGGCCGTGATCATGCGGTTTACAGTGGCCCAAGGATGCTACAGTGACCCCCACTCTCCGTAGTAAAAGCGACAAGCATTTGATGGCCCAGATTTCCTCTATGCAGTCAATTTGGCGATAGAACGTTACTAAATCGGGTGTAGAGGGAGGTTCTATTCCTACGCTAACTAATCATCCCAGACCAGACGAGACCAGACCAAACCAAACGAGGAGCGACTTTTTTTTAATTGACTTATTTGCAATTTTTCTCGCTCTCTCTCTTCCTTCGTCCTCACTTACATCACGTCAATTCCCAACTAAAGGAAGATACAAACACATTTCATCAACAAGAATCGTCAACTTGGAATTAACTCACAATGGGCTTTCCATCGAACACGGCGTCCAATGCCGTCATCTATGTCACTTATGCCCTGTTCCTGTTTGTCTCCGATCTCGCTTACATTTTCGTATTGAAGCTAATCATCAGAACAGACTCATGGGAACTGGCATTGCTTGGAAGATGAGACATCAGTCAAAGGCCGATTTCCTTTCAGGAAACGGAACTCAGACGGGTCAGAAAATCCCCAGTTACGAAATGCTTGTGAGAGGCGACGAGGCAACTCTGCTCCTCTACTCACAAACATGTCGATCTACAGCTCAAACAACACGGAACATAGGCTAACCACAGGAACAGCCTTCCCTCTGGCCCTCAACTTCATCGCCTCCGGTGAGTAGAGCCAAAAGAGCTCTTGCTACAACGACTCCGGAGCGGTGGCAAACTGCAACATGTCAGCAAAAACGAAGAACACGGGCTGTGAGACCTCGCACGGTGACTCCAGCCTGAAACTTCTCGGTCGAGTATATTCAAGTCATAAGATGAACGAGCAGGTTCGTACATTGAAAGAAGATCTTCCTTCTCTCCCCCCTATCCCTCCTGAGATGCTCTCAGACTCTGTTGCTACTAACCCCATCCAGCTCAGTCGAGGTCACTCTTCACTGAGCTGGGTAACTCGAACTACCTGCTCCAGAGAGGCAATCTCGGGAGGCTGGGGGGAGAGGATGCGGCTCACTACGGGCGCTGAGTTGACGTATCGTCTGGATCCAACCTCGGAGCATGTTTGCGACGGCAGACATGTCTGTTCTTCTGGGGAGATCCTGGCGTGCGACGACGAAGCTGAGATTGTACCGTAAATACTCGATCAAGTTAATGCTTGCGTGGGAAAAGTGTTGCCGCTCCAATCTATCCCCTGCCCCCCCAATAACGTTGGAATGACAACTGACTCTTGTAGCTCTCGGATCCGGTATTCTCTTCTCGTACCCTGAGTTGGCCACTATTTCCGGTGTTCAGGGCATGATCGTCTACGCTCTTGCGTCGTCGCTGCCCATGCTCATCTTTGGATACCTCGGCCCTATCATCCGACGACGATGCCCTGAGGGGTTTGTCCTCACTGAGTGGACTCGCCAGCGATATGGTGTCATTACTATGCTGTACCTGAGCTTCATGTCTCTTGTGACCTTGTTCTTGTACATGGTTGGCGAGCTGTCGGCTATCGGACAGGTCGTTAATGCCATGACTGGCCTCAAACCTCTTCCGGTTATGATCGTTCAGTGCGCTGTCACCACCATCTATACCTGTGAGTTTCTCAGTGTTGCGGCCCTATGTCTTATCTAACAATCTACAGCCCTCGGAGGATTCAGAATCTCGTTCATCACCGATGTTGCCCAAGGTACCATGGTCATCGGTCTCGTCATTATAGCCGCCATCACCATTGGCGCAAAGACTGAGATTCAGCGACCTCTCATCGAAGAGTCTGGTCTCACCAAGTCCAACCTCCTCGGCTGGCAGCTGCTGTACATCCTACCTGTTGCTGTCTTGACCAACGACTTCTTCCTATCTTCCTTCTGGCTCCGAACTTTCGCCTCCAAGACTGACAAGGATCTCCGAATTGGTACCACCATCGCTACGATCGTCATTCTGTGTATCCTCACTCTTGTTGGTTCCACCGGTCTGATCGCCGTTTGGTCCGGAGCTCTGTCTCTCGAGGACGCTGCTGGTTCTGGATCAGTGGCCTTCTTCGTGCTCCTCGAGACCCTTCCCAGCTGGGTTGTTGGCATTGTGCTCGTCATGGTCGTCACCATGAGCACAGCTGCCTTTGACAGTCTCCAGTCTGCTATGGTCTCCTCCGGCTCCAACGATCTCTTCCGCAACAAGCTCAACATCTGGTACATCCGTGCCTTTGTCGTCGTCATCATCATTCCCGTCATCGTCATTGCTCTCAAGGCCCCCTCCGTTCTTCAGATCTGGCTCATCACCGATCTCATCTCCGCCGCTACAATTCCCGTCTTGGTGATTGGTCTCGTCGATAAGTTCTACTGGTGGCGTGGCTTTGAGGTTGTTGTCGGTGGCCTTGGTGGTATCCTCACCGTCTTCATCTTTGGATGCATCTACTACGGTAACGCTCAGGAGGCCGGTGAGCTTCTCCTTGTGCAGAAGGGCCTCTATGGCAATGACTGGAGTGCCTTTGGCGCTTTTGTTGCTGCCCCTGTTGGAAGTATTCTCTGGGGCTGTGGCGCTCTCGCCCTCCGTCTTTCTTACCAGTACATGTCTGCTAAGATTCGAGGACATCGTTTTGATGCTCTTGATCGCCCCGTGGACCTTCGTCCTTCAAGCACTGAGGAGGATGTTCCCACTGAGAACCTCGTTTCTTCGACCCCTGGCAAGTTCTTTTAAAGGGGACACTAAGCAGATGCCTTTGGATTCTGTTCTGTAAAAAAAGTTTGACAATCAATTGGAGGTTTGGTACAAGATTGGTTTCGCGGCTGGTTGGTTTGACAAAAAGTAATCGATAGGTTAATCAAGAGTATTTACACCAGTGTTTCAGCCTAAACCTAATTGTTCAACTCGGTAGTTCCCATGCTGCAACTTTTTTACAGACCTGCAGCACTAGCTCAGAACTTGCATAGCATGAGAATTACTATGTCTGCCAGCTTAATCATTTATTTTGTCCTGATCAAAACAGAGCCAGGACAGGCCACTCCCTCCCCTAGTGAGAGCACTCAGTTTATATAACAAGACGCCAGGAATACCACAGCCACAGCCCTACTATAGTGGCCTCCTCAGTAATTTATAATCCAAGAGAAATACCACAACACAACACAACACAATATCAACATCAGATCAACTGATCTGCTCTCGTATGGCTCTCGATGATACTGTCTTCAATATCACATTTTGCATCTGGATTTCCAAACATGCTCTCAATTGCACCATCACACATATCGGCAATTGATCTCTTGAACTGAATTGGAGAAGTACTTGATAACCGTCCGTTCGCCAGTCTCAATGCAAAGGTATTCTAGAATATAGTACAAAACATGCTCATCATATAATATACACTCTCATTTTACATGTTTCCTCCTCCTCCTCTGCTCACTAACATCATGAGCATTCCAGCGTATTTATACAATTTTGTACCTTTTTATTTTTTTTTTATTTCAGAGGCCCTTCCCATCCAGCTCGCTTGGCCTGCTCCCTGGTGATCCAATCCTGCTCCTCCTGGAATGCCTCTAGAGTTGTTGGAGAAATAGTTCCCCATATGCGCCATTGACCAGCTTGGAATGTCTTCTCGCTGACTTGTCGTGAGACCACCACGTATTCGATCTTGTCCTGCACCTTTGTGCTTCCGGGGATGAGCTCGCCGGTGGCCTTCTTGTATTTCGCGACCTTTTGTGTGGAGGCAATCGCAACAACGGCCTGCTCTGTGCTGTGCTCCTTGTCGTGAGGATTCACGTTGTGGACCTGGTGTGCCATCACACGAGGGTACGCCCATGTCGAATTGAGCTTAACCAACTCAAATGTGACACGCTCAGCGGGGTTTCGACGATCGATAGCGGCCATGAGCTTCTTTCCGAACTGGCCCAGACATAACTCGTTGACAGCAGCCTTGTCACCGGCAGCAAAAGCCCCGAGCATCTCTATGTACATGTTCTTCGCTGTAGGCGCAATCTTGCTTCGGGCGATCTTCCACTTGGGCCTTGTTGTCCAGTCGGGCATAGACTTGAGCTTCATTTGGAGGAGAGAGAAGTATTCGAATCCAAATTGTCGGAGTCGGTACCATGAGTAGTTGAATAGGTTGTTGACGCCGGAGGGGTATCGTGAGAATGGGAGAGAGACAAATGTGCCTTTGCGCTGTTAGTCTTGTCTGATGGTTCAGGTTGCTTGTCTACAGCCTCAATTGGCGCATTGACAAGTCTCCGGTCCTAATAATCCTCATGGTAACTCACCAGGAAATAGAGGGCCACCACCACCCTTGAAGTACTCATCGTTGGCCTTCTTCTGGATCGCCGACATCGATTGAGTATCCGTCTTCTTGGTATCCTTGTAAGCCGCCTTCTGCATCTCTCGCAGGATCTTTCCCTTTGAGGGCATCGAGTTGTATCGACATTGGACCCTCGCCGCTCCGAGAACGCTCTGGCGCAGAGCGGCCGGGCGTATCGCTTTTGCCGAGGAAAACATTGGCGAACCTTTTGTTACGAATTTGCTGAACCGAGAGAATCGAGACGTGGGAATTGTTTACAGGGACACCCGGTGGTTACCCGCGGCGTAGGGTCATTATCGAGCTCGAGCTGGCTTCGGCAAACTAAACTACGTCTTCTGCCGTTGAAGAATTTCTTGGGTTTCTGGGCTGATGGCGGATCAAATATGCCCCGCTGACCGATGCCGGTGGTGAAAATGTGGGGGATCGGATCTCCAAGTTGAATTGGATCAATTGGCACATGCTAGACATGTGTAAATTATCAACGTCCCCAGTTGCAGAACCGCAACTTTACAGCGACATCACTGCTCCACGGCCTGAAACTCGACCAAAGGGCCAATTTTAGTCCCTTAACCGTTGCTGTTATTATATCTCATGTTATCGGACTCTCGGTGAGCCAATTGGGCTCCAGTAGACAACTTGCGACAGCTTCAAACTCGATATCATACCTAAACACCAAAATTACCCATCATGAGGCCCACACAAACGCTCCTCTCAAGAGGCTTCTTCGGTCGCAGTATGGATGAACTCAGACGGCGCACGCAAATAGGTAGACTCTGCCCAAGCTTCGTAATGTTCTGAAGCTAAATGTCGCAGCTGTGAGCTTCGAGGCCATCAAAGGCGCTACACAGCCCAAGCCTCTTTACGAGTTCAACACCCCTGATAGTGTCCGCGACTGCATCGTCATGACTGACAAGACCATCGGCGGCTTCTCAGAGAGCAACTTTGACTTCCACAAGTCCACCGACGCCAACAACGACCCCAAGATACCCTCCACCTATGCCCGTTTTCATGGCAACATCTCTACTCGCCTCCCCTCCGACCGCCCCAATATCCAACGAACTGGCTTTGCCGGCTTCCGGTCTCCGGATCAAAGGCCAACCGCCTTCGGCCGCTCCATGTGGGATATTGATCCGTACATCTACCTCGCCCTGCGTGTCAAATCAGATGGCCGCAGTTACTTTGTCAACTTACAAACCGAGAGTGTCGAACCATCAGATTTACATCAACATCGATTATTCCCTAAGCGCCCAGGGCAATGGGAAACTGTGCTCATAAAATGGAACGACTTCGTCAGGACGAATCACGGCTTTGTGGTGGAACCTCAGACTGAGATGCTTCGACAGAAGGTCTTGACCGTGGGTATTGGACTCACAGATCGTGTTGATGGTCCATTTGAGCTGTGTATCGAGAGAGCGTGGGCCACCAATGATCCCAGTGAGGTAGATGTGACAGAAGAACCCAAGGCTGAGATTGTGGCAGAGAGAGGTCAGTTGAGAAACAAGAAGGGCGAAAAAGTACGGTGGTAGACAAACAAACATTATTAGTGCCTTATGGGGCATACAGCATCATTGCATGTGTATTCGTAAAGTTTCATGTTCTTGGATAAGAATCCACTCTAGGACTGGTTGAAATATTACCCGTCTCTGTCTAAATAAATGGTATAATGAACTCCCGTATCTCGCCTCTAGCCATGCCATTGATTCGTATTTGCCATTACCAATGCCTACCCGTCAAGACTGAGTGATTCAGCAGTCTTCCGCAGTGACACGTACGCTGCAGCATAATCCGCAGCCAGAACCATATCCCCAGTCAGCTTCATGATCATCGCCTTCTTTGCCATCATTTGGCATTGCATGTTGATGTCTTCGACACTTGAGTAATGATCAAAAGACTTTTGCACCGCTGCGAGAGCTTTCGTCATGTATTCCGATCGTTTGGCTGACTTGGGTTCGCATTTACCAGCAAGTCCCATGTTGGCATCGGCGAGGTAGCTGTAGAGCTGGGCTGTCAGACTCTCAGTCTCACACTCCAGGGAACGGGGTATGATAGCCAGCAGAAGCTGAGAGGCTGCTTCAAACTCCTTCAAAGAGACCAGAATATTCGACACGCAACCGATTGCTTGCCAGAGGCAGGGTATCAGACGAGCTCCCCACGATATGCTCGCTGCCCGCATTGCTGTCGTGAACCCTCTCTGTGGCCGGCCACATTTATCAAGAAGAGAGGCTTTGAGGAGCAAGAGTTTGACCTTGAGTACCACATCCTTCTTCTCGTTCTCCAACTGTGACATCATGCTGTCGACTTTTGCAAAGGCTGCTTGAAGATCTCCACGACGAGTGAGATAGTCAATGTGGAGGGTGTCCACCAAGAACGCCATATCAGGTTCTAGGTCATCCTTCTTCGATTGGAGGATCTGAGATAGAAGCCGTTCAGCTCCTTCGAGATTGTTGTGATGTAAGTCTCTTTTCAGCTTGATGACACCTCGATACTTGTGCCAGTACTGACTGGGCTTCCAGGATCTCAGTGAATTATCCTCCAGGTTTTCCAGTTTAGTCATTGCATCGTCATATTGTCCCTTTGAAGCAAGTAGTAAAGCGAGTCTACAAGTCAACTTCAGTTCATCATCGAAGATGGCATTACGAGCGTGGCATTTCAGGAAGACCTCGCAGGTTGCTGACGATAGGGTCGAGAGCCCAAGCCTGTCCCATAGAGCTGATGTGAGTGAAAGGTATGACCCAAACATGTTGTTCATGTTCCTCTCTACGATGATGTGAGAGCTCCGCACAATCGACTCAAAAGCCGTAGCCACACTGTCGCCATTCAGTAGCCCAAGCTTTGCTTCGCTGAGGAGGACTGAGCTCCAAAGCGTGAACATGCCTGTCTCTCTAGCCTTAACACGGAGAAAGGCCAAGCTTTCTTTGCCAGTACCGAGCAGGCTACTCGATTCCAGATTCTGGACGAGATCGGGATGGGCACGACCGAAATGGAAGAGCCAGTTTAAGGCAAAGTTGAGGCAAGTCATGTCTCGGTTCTCTCGCGCTGTCGACACGGTTTCAAGCATGGCTGCTACAGCTTCTTTGTAACAACCAAAGTCGGCTTGCAAAACAGCCAAGTTCATCAACGCGTATTGGTAGAACAGGCGATCTCTATTCTGCATGGTGTAGTCAAAGTAACGGTGCAAATAGTCGAATGCAGTGGGATAGTCTCCAGCTCTCCATGCATCGAGAAATCTGCCCCGGTTAGCCGAAAGATTCATGGGTGTTAATGAGAGATAGCGTACTTGAGATAGTGTGTGAGACTGGGAATGAGATAGCTGTCGTTGAGTAGATCATGAAATTGATGGCGGATTTCGAGGGGTATCCTGTTTCCAAATTCTAACTGTGTCAGCACGCAAGATCATATGAGTTTGGAGAATGACTGACTCTGCATCTGCTCGATTTGAAACTCCAGGAGACTCTCGATATCATCTGTGCTCACAGGGAGCGATCCACTTTGGTCTCCTGTGAGCATATCACCGTACGCCACAGAGGCCAAGTCCATAACACTCTTGAGGTCCCAATCTTCCTGCTCGCCCACCAATAGAACATTGTCGAAACTCAGCCGTCCGAAGCCTGGGATCTTGCGCTTGAGATAAGGGGCTGTTGGTTGTCGATATCGCACAAATTGCTTCCATAGCTCTGTACAGTCGTGGAAGCGTAATCGCTGATACTCAAGTCGCGATCTGCGCACAAAAGCCCCAAAGGGAGAGTTCGCCGAGAGCTTTATGCCTTCTTCCTCTTCCACCGGTTGGCCCAACTCAGCCAGTCTCTTGCGTTCCTCCTTGGTTTTGGCCAGCAAGCCGGATAGGTTGTCGAAGAAGTTGTGCAGTGCATCCAATGAGTTGATATCCCATAGTTTGCCCAAGAACTGGTCCCATAACCTCCGTCCAGGCATGCCCATGAGAAAGGGATAGCTCCCAAGAAGCTTCTCAAACTCTTTGATGCTTATGACGAGGCTGACGGTTTTCTCTGCCTTGCTCCATCTTTCGGACTGATCTGCGGATGTTTTTGGAGAAGAGTGATCCATGAGATGAGAGGTGACAAAGGAGAGCACTGGAAGGATAGCATCACTTGGTACAGCTCCTTCAACGTAGAGCTCTATGAGAGCGAGAAGGCCAATCTTGGCCGGGTTGAGATAGCGAGCCATTGTGAGGCGGAACCAATCACACTGTTATAGAGAGTGATGGCAAATGATGAAGATGTAAACAATCATAGAGGAGTGAGAGGAGTTCAAGAGAGCGCCCTTCAAGTCGGCACCAAGACGCGCCTGTCGGATTGTTAACAGATTAGATCACTCCTGCTCAGATAAAATCTAGCTACCTTAGTGGTACTCTGACCTTCCCATCTGAGTCAGCAACTCCCATTCGATGAGACTTTCAATAGCTGCCTCTCGGTTGGCGCGTTTGGTTGTACGTAGAGTGTTTCGTTACTGGCGTTTGTTGTTTGGCCGGGACATCTTCGGAGTATCCTTGTCAAGTTGACTTTAAGTGGGATGACACAATCTCAATTGGTGGGCATGTATCGCGACCTCCAAAGCAGAAGAGTCGGAATACGCTGAATAAAAAGGATTATAATCATACTAGTCCAACACTGATACGTTATTTAGTCGATACTGCGTTCCGCTGGATTTAAGTTCTTGGCTTCAGTAGGTCTGCGGCCTGAGTCCAAAGAATGGGCTTAGATGATGTCAACAATAAGGTATCAGAACGTGCTAAGAAAAGAATAGAGTAAATTCGGTTTGAACTTGGGAGTGCACGACCTAATGTGAGTGGCTATTACGACAAGACTCGCAGGCGTTTTAGATGCGAATACTAGAAACTTGATGGCACATCCGTTTTCATGTCACTTAGCATACGTAGGAATGTTGGTTCAGATTTCAGCAATCAGTCAATTCGAGTCTAGGGAACATGTACAAGGTATCTCCAGAGGGAGTAGTCCATGAAGGAGTAGTCCAGCAATTGTCCAAGGCATGAGCTGTCAACAGATCATACTTAGGAAGCCTTGTCCTTGTTGTGGTAGTTGACCTCGTCGTTCCAGCTGTGCATAGTTAGTATGGTATTCACAAACGTCATGGAGCATGATAGCTCGGTGCTCAATGGCGTGAGAGCTGGCATCCGAGCTTCTTGAAGCTCCTTTGAAGCTATTTTCCGGAATGATGTCACAACTTACAAGAGAGTCTGTGAAATGTCAGTACAGTGCCATTGAACCAAAATACCCATTCCAAACTCACCTTGTCACCGTTGCCCCACTGGTAGTTCTTGGTGCGGATGTTCTGGTAAGGGTACTCGGTGCGCTCCTCCAGAGGAGGCATGTGGTTCCAGTGCTCCCAATGCTCGTTCCAGAGCCAGTAGGCGTTGGCACCGGCGGCGATGAGGCAGGGGGCGACACCACTTCGATCTTGTTAGCCATTGCTATCCCAACGCAACATCACGACCTCGTCAACTCCAGCTTCCGATGCTCCGGGTTCGAAGACAGATTCGTAATTCGCTCAAGGGTTCGGATTCGGACGTACTAGAGGGAGATCTTCTTCCACAGCTCTGTCCATCGTCAGCAACCACACCCAAAGCTTCCAATTGACCCAATTCTGCGTTGCCGGGTGTCGACTCACCAGTGGTACCGGCAGCGTGCTCCTTGATGTGCTGACGCTCCTTGATGAACTCGTTCTCGGCGGTGCTGGCAAATCGGCGCTGGAGGGGAGCGCGGAGCTGCGCAGTGGCGCGCGTGGCAGCGCGGGTGAATCGTACAGCGGACATTGTGGGCGACGACGTTGTTGTTCGCTTTGACGGTTGGTGAGTCTAAGGCAAGTTTGTGATCAGGTCATTCTTCGGTTAGAACCGCCAATGAAAGTTGCCTCAATTGTAAGGTACCAATTTCCCCCGGCCGATGACAGATCGCACGTGATCTCGTGCTGGGGGCGCGACGTCGAAGGCTCAACACCACGCGGTGGGGCTCTGCGTCATTGTAGGGATCGCGACCTTCTTGCTCTGAGTGTCTTGTTGTTAGACGGCAATTACTTGAACACAGCGATTCTCGCCGTTCTAATTTCTTCTCTTTGGGCTTATATACGACGATCTCCCCGATCTATCCCTCTATAGCTGCCAATTCGCTCGCCTCCCAAACTCATCGCGAAGTTCCTTCATCCTTCAGCTCATGGTTTCCACATCATCAGTACCGTGGGATGAGAGGTGAGACGCTCACGGGAATTGCTTCTTGTACTCTATGAGAATTTTCAACACCAAATTCTATAACTCACAAGTTGCAATCATGGCGTTTCGGATAACCACCTGGAACGGTGAGTTTAGCCGCCTTTCCTTTGGCTCTTCCACTAACACCATCTGCAGTCAATGGCATCCGGTTCGTGATTCACGGCGAAAAACCCTAAACTCATCCTAATGATCCACTTCACAGAAATCCTTTCGGCTATCAACCTTGGAGAGAAAAGAGAACCTTTCAAGTACGCTCTTTCATCTCACAACCTACACCTAACATCCTCAACTCACAACGGCGCAGGCTATGTTTGAGATTCTCGAAGCAGACATCGTGGTTATGCAAGAGACCAAGATCCAGCGAAAGGACCTTCAAGATGACATGGTTCTCGTCCCAGGTTGGGATGTCTTCTTCAGCTTACCGAAGCACAAGAAAGGTACGGCACTCACCCTCATTTGTTCGCCACAACGCCTGACAATCTTCAGGATATTCTGGCGTCGCTGTTTACACACGCAACTCAAAATGCGCGCCTATTCGAGCAGAAGAAGGCGTCACTGGCATCTTGACGGCTCCCAAGTCTACAACCAGATACCGCGACCTCCCTGAAGACCAGCAGATTGGCGGTTACCCCCGACCCGATCAACTTGAGGGCATCATCGACGAGGCGACTCTTGACTCTGAGGGCCGCTGTGTCATTCTTGAGTTTCCAGGTTTTGTGCTCTTTGGAGTTTACAGCCCTGCAACCCGAGATGAGACTCGTGATGACTTTCGCACTGGTTTCTTCCAAGCACTGGAAATGAGAATACGGAACTTGGTCGCCGCAGGCAAGCAGGTCATCCTTACCGGTGATTTGAACGTCGTCCGCTCCGAGCTTGACTCAACCAATGTTTCAGAGACACTACGCAAGGAAGGGATTGATCTCAGCGACTGGATGAACGCACCTGTGCGGCGCATCTTCAACCAACTCATATTTGAGGGAAGTGTGCTAGGCGAAAGAGATGAAGGCCGTGAAAAGCCTGTTCTCTGGGACCTCTGTCGTTGCTTTCACCCAGAGCGAGTGGGGATGAACACATGTTGGGATACCAAGCGGAACACACGACCTGCAAACAACGGCAGTCGGATCGACTACGTCTTGTGCAGCGATGGCATCAAGAGCTGGTTCAACTACACCAATATTCAGGAGGGATTGATGGGGTCTGACCATTGCCCAGTCTTTGCGACTTTGTCGGACAAAGTGACTGTGGGCGACAAAGAGTGTGCGTTGCTCGAGATGATGAACCCCCCGGGTATGTTCAACGGGGACGAGCGTCTTCGAGACTGGACCCCAAAGGATCATCTTCCTTTGTCTGCGAAGCTGATACCAGAATTTGACCGCCGGCAGAGCATCCGCGACATGTTCACAAAGAAAGCCGCCCCTCCACGAGAGTCGACGAGGACAGGCACACCTGCAGAACCCTTGAAGAACGGAAATAGTAGCGCCTCGGGGTCACTCGACAAGGCAGAGGAAGCTTCAGGGTCACCGACCAACGCCTCCTCCACACCGAGGCTGGGCGAGACGACCAACTCAACCAAGCTTTCAGCATCCCAGCCTAGCTCCAAAAGACCTGGAACGGCCGCTGACACGGCCAGTCGACCATTCAAGAAGGCCAAGTCTTTTACAGGCGCCAACGACACCAAGAGCAAGGCGGCGCAGGGCCAACGAACATTACAGGGATTCTTCAAGCCAAAAGCTCCCGCGGCTCAAGATGGCAAGGCAGAGCTAGTAGCGGCAAGTTCGACGCCATCTACAACAAAGAAACCTGCAGTATCAGGGAAAGCGCCAGCAAGCGCGCAGAGACTATCGAATACCCCGCAGGCTACACTTACAGAAAAGTCATCACCAACAGTCCCTCTACGCGGCAAGGATCCCGAATCCTCGGACAGGGTGTTTGACCCGATCGAGGCAAAGGAGTCGTGGTCCAAGCTGTTGGGTAAGAGGGTTGCACCAAGATGTGAACACGACGAACCCTGCATCAGCTTCACCACCAAGAAGCCCGGAGTCAACTGTGGTACGTTATACAGCGGCAGCTGATCCAAAGTGCATGCGGTGGCGTTGCTGTTACACAACGCCGCGGCTGCAACGTCGTTTGCCGATGCAAAGTCAAACCCAGAAGCTAATTTTGATGACACTACAGGTCGAATGTTCTACATCTGTCCGCGGCCGCTAGGACCATCAGGGGAGAAGGAGAGAAACTCGGAGTGGCGCTGCAGTACATTCATATGGAGCAGTGATTGGACTGGCTCATGATGGGAGTTCGGGGAACTGGGAGTGCAGGAGTCTGATTGGGATTTTTTTACATACGCTACGTTGAGAGCTGTACAGTAGGGAACTTATCTGTGTTACGATCAATAGTACCAAGTTGCCATGTCACTAACAACATCGTAATCACAATAAACCCAAGTCTTTCGTCTCTCTTATATTTTCTGTCCACCACAGAACAACGTGATACGTTGTCAATGTGCTAGTTATCTATCCATTATGCTTCCTGTCTTCAGAGAAGAGACATGTCCTCAACCTAGTGCAATAAGAAACAAAGCGACTGGGTTGCGCCGCTTGCAATCCATGGGTATCGTCAAATCCACAAATACATCGCTTCCATCATCTGTGTCCCAACCCCCAGGCGACCGAGATTGGGTAAACGACAAGCAGTTTTTCCAGCCTTCCTATATCAAACTAAATTAGTGACTGCTGTTGAGCTTCATATTCTTCGACTTACGTTTGTCGTCCGAGGATCATGCTCAAAATCATGAAGAGGGCCAGTGCTCATCGAAATGAAGAAGTTCCGATAGGAGCTTCTTAGGCGGTAATCTGCTGTGCGACAGTAGTGGTCGCTGTACTGCTGTCAGAAGAAGCATTGTTGCGACGGCGCCGCTCAGAAGGACGACGAGGGCGGTACTGGTAGTCGGGGTACTGTCGGCGATGTTCGGCCTTTTTCTGATCCGCCATCTGCTTGTAGAGTGCGCGAACCTCACGGGTCTCGGAGTTCCAGAGGCGGCCAAGGACTTGGGCTGAACCGATATCAGTGATGTCTTGTGAATGGGCATGAACTACTTACAGATTTCGTTGTTGGTGATATCGGGGCGTTGAGCCTTGATCGAATGGTGACGCTCCTTACGGTAAAGGATGTAGGCATTGGGAGGTCGTGGGATCTTGGCAGGGAAAGCAGGTTTCTCAGGACGGTGAATGAAAATGACTTCAGGAGCACCGGGAATGTTGACCAACATTCCACCCTTAGCAAAGAAGTCACAAGGAGCTCCGAGGTAGTAGCAGTTGTTCTGAGTGTCGCGAGCATAGAGAACGGGCATGCCAAGTTGAACCCTGTTTGAGAGTCGTCAGTAAATTCAGATGAGTAGTTCTGTGACAAATAAACTTACATGTAGAGATTAGCAAACCCGGCTTTGGCACCGACATCCAACTCGTTATAGAGAGAAGGGAGGATTTTAAGGAGCTTGCTCGACTTGCTGTCTGTATGAATGCACTGGTAGATTCTGTCGATATGCTCCAGTGTCCATTTGCTGGTGAAGACGATGGGGCTGGAAGCGCCGGGTGGCATCAAGACGAAGTTGGCCATGATCGTTGTTGCTGAGGTTCAAGCTGATCCTATTGGCGTTGGAAGCGATGAGAGAAATCTTCTTAGAGTTGCTTCAGGAACTTGAAATGCAATTCAGAATGTTTGGTGTTGTGAGGAGGAGGGAAAAGAAAAGAAGAGAAGAAGTCATGCCGCGCATTTGTAGCAGCGCTCTGCAAACGCCGCTTCGCAACATTAGTCTGAACGTCTTATTGTTTCTCTATTGACGCAAGAGAGTGGGGCATTCCAGAGGTTGGTGGGGCTCCGTGTACGTATCTTTTTCAGATTCCCTGAGAGACACCTGCCACGCACTGTTCTTTGTCTGAATCACTGGGCGTGTGCTTTCGCTTTGCAATGGAGCCCAACATTGCGCGAAGCCACAGGGGGCCCGGCTATGGGCTAGTGATACTTGGCATGCCAGGGGACAGGTGATCTGGACTACTCTCCTGGGCCTCGTATGCTTTTAATGGAGGATGAGGAGGATTCATTGAAATGATGAGTTGATTTCTTAAGTTAGCTATAGAATTGTCAAAAGTCGCTTTTTAAGAGATGAGAGAAGATATTCATACTCTGATAGTTCATTGGTAACATATAATCGGTGTCCTATTTGAAAAGTTCTATCCCAGACTTTTTCTAGCTGGAATTTTTCCCTTAAGATATATTCAGGTGTAATTGCAATTTATTAGATCAGATGCTGAGAACTACTTTGATATTGCTACGACATGCACCACTAAGTCTATCCCTGTGTCTTGCTTGACGACAGTCCTAAAATCAACTTAAGTAAATGATGACAGCTGGTAGATTCCAGTCCTGCTTCACCAGTACTGACTCTGGTGTCTAATAAACGATATGGTATAACCTAAGATGCGATGTTACGATCAAAAGGCAACTCTCTTTGAAATATGAGACACAACCTCTGAGGCCATTATGGGTTTTTGCTGCAAACTTGAACTTGCTCTGAGACTCTGCTTATCAGAATCAGTAGCCTCACTCCAAGATTCAGTATACTTAATGCATTAAATCTTTTATTTTTTAACTTTAAATACAGAAATCCTAAGATATATATAATATATATTACAATAGAGAATTTAGGATAAATTAATTTTTCTATATTATTATATTTAATCAGTTAATGTTTTTATTATTTGTTATTTTATAAACTAAATTGAAAAACTAATAATATTATACTTAGATAGACAGATGTTGATTTAGAGATCTCTTGATGTTGTCCAAAATCTTTCTTATATTCCAGACGATTAGAGTGACAGTGGTCGGCAGTGTTGATCTGTTACTGGCAGCGCCAAGCCCTGGCGGCGGAACGTAAACGCCACCTGTAGTTCCATGCTCTGGCTGTTTGATGGCGTTGTTTATGGGTGCGAATTTCCAGAACCCCCACCACATATCATTCCCATCGCTTTCACCGGCCCTCTCTCCCTCTTCACCTACCCACAAAATATTAATCTCCCAAACCAGACCTTCTGGGCTTTGGGCTTCGTTGCAGCTATATCAACATTCTACTTTTCAACATTCCCCGTTCTTCACTTGCTGTAAGCATGGAGTCTCATACTCTGAACAGTCCGCCCATGCCAGTTCGAGCCACAATGCAAGACATCCAAGCTCTCTTGAATGGGGAATCTCTCAATCATCTGGCGCCTGTTCCCGGGGGTCGATGGCAGATGCTGTCTCGCGTTGATAACATAATCCTCATCGCGTATGTTTTGGAAGACGGGACCCAGGTTATGACCACCACAGTCAATGTAGCATTTGATGCTCAGACTGCTGCGGGCCTTTGTTGGCAGCACATGTACAACTTCCCGGCAGGTAAGCGCTTGGTTTCTCTTACTGAACTCCGAATTTGAGACTGAGACAAAATTTCAGCAGCCTACAACCCAGGCGTGATTTGGGAAGATGAGAGTTCACAGGCGCAACCTGCTATCATCTCAAATGCGCAGATGGGAACCTCTGCTCCCATGAACCAGCCGCCAAACAACACTTGGACAGCAGGTCCCATAGACGCCCAAGCTGGTGGCGCGCCAGTCTTAGCCAATCCTCAGCTCCCTGCACCATATCAACCCATCATCAGCAACGTCCAGGGCCAACAGCAGCCTCACAATCAAGCCCAGACACTTGCCGCACCAGACTCTGGAGGGATGGACCCGTTTCAGCATACGCAGCCAGTCGACATGTCTGGGGATCCCTCAGGAGATCTTTCTGGTAAGTTTGTCCATTCTTCTCGTAATATATCCCATAGCTTACAGTGCAGTAGCGTTCCAGGATGGCGGCGGCACGGTATTTGATGCTGGGCAATTTGTCGGCCAGAACGGACAAATCCAGAACATCCATCAATGGCAACCTTTCCCATAGAGACTACGATCGCTATCCTAGGACTTTGCAAGAGGGCAACCTTGGTTCTTGGAACATATTTGTGCTCACTTAAAGGTTTGCTCCTCCGCGAGCTGTAACTTGAAGTTCTAACATGACACAGCAAGCGACGGGACAACCTTCACAGTTTCCACAATGGTGTCTTGTCACCAAGAACATCAAAGCTTCTTCAATTGTAGCGGATAATGGGACTAGGAAATGATTAAGGGTATAAAAAGATCAGCTCCCATTTAGATGGTGTTTCGTCACAGCAGCAGTGTTAGTATTCCCTGTTCAGACACTCCAATTATTATTGACAAATAAACAGAAGTTCTGATGGCTCTTGATCTTTGGTTACCATCACGAATCCAGCATAAGGTGCAACTAGGCAGTTTCGGGATGGAAATGGGATGATTTGAAATGATACCTGATCGGCGAGAATGATTCGTAAGACTGAGGTTACAGTTGGGGGAATTCTTTACCAGGGACTGCATAGCAAAGTCAATACACACAGTTACTAGTCTTGTTCCCTACATGCTACAGAGTAGTGAGGTCGGAATTATGTTTAGCACGGCCCACAGTTGCCCAGAACGTACGTCGAGGGACCAGGGTCTACAGACTGTGTGATCTCACACTGTAATTTAAACCCTGTGTCCTTTAACCGTGACACCCCCATGCTATACCCGCTTCGAGCTGTAGGGCTGATGGACGACTTACAAGGAAGAGAAGGGAAGGGAGAATGGCAGATCCGTCTGGTTTGGTGCAGGAATTTGGCTCTTGTTTCCAATTGAATAATGAATAATGCCCTGATACCAAGCATAATTACTTCAAAATCAAGGAGCCTCAATCCCTGTGACGGCAATTGTAGAGATAGATCACTTCAACTTTGGGTTTGATGTGCAACAGTGACCATGGTGTGTTGGGGTAATTTTGTCATGGGAGCTCTTGATGGGTCCTTCAGCCCGTAGTTGAACGCCAAGATCGCTCCAACCTGATGAAGCTAGCGTAACCAATGTTTCGTTTGAAGGTTAATCTCAGGTCAACTCAAAGTCTCAAACGACAGACTGCGTTGTAGATATGTATGTCGGTGGCCTCGAATGTT